AAGGTGCTCGGCGGTTCCAGTGTGCTGAACTATATGCTCTATGTGCGCGGCAATCGGCACGACTATGATCACTGGGAATCGCTGGGAAATGCCGGTTGGGGCTACGAGAATGTACTGCAATATTTCAAGAAGTCAGAAGACAACCGCAACCCTTATCTAGCGAACAATGCTTATCATGGTCGTGGTGGCCTACTCACGGTGCAGGAGTCGCCGTGGCATTCGCCACTGGTTGCCGCATTCGTTGAAGCTGGTCGCGAGATTGGCTATGAAAACCGCGACGTCAATGGCGAAAAACAAGCTGGTTTCATGATAGCTCAAGGTACTATAAGACGCGGTTCACGCTGCAGCACCGCGAAGGCCTTCTTGCGCCCCATCAGATTGCGTAAAAACTTACATCTTTCCATGAACTCACACGTCACCAAAGTGGTCATTGAACCGGGCACAATGCGCGCGCACACCGTGGAGTTTGTAAAAAATGGTAAGGTCTTTCGCATACGCACCAGACGCGAGATTATTTTGTCAGCCGGCGCTATCAATACACCGCAAATACTGATGCTCTCGGGTATTGGCCCAAAGGCGCATCTCGAGAAGCACGGCATACGCGTGCTTCAAGACCTGCCAGTTGGTGAGAACTTGCAGGATCATGTTGGTATGGGTGGCCTGTCGTTTTTGGTTGACAAACCCGTTGCCATAGTGCAAGACCGATTCAATCCCACATCGCTCACCATGCAGTATGTGTTGCGTGAGCGCGGCCCCATGACTACTTTAGGAGGCGTAGAAGGTCTGGCTTTTGTACACACGCCCTACTCTAACAGCACCATAGATTGGCCCGATATACAGTTCCACATGGCGCCAGCTTCCATCAATTCGGACAATGGCGCGCGCGTAAAGAAAGTACTCGGTCTAAAAGAGTCCCTATACCAAGAAGTTTTCAAGCCGATCGCTAACAAGGATACTTGGACTATCATGCCGTTGCTGCTGCGTCCCCGCTCACGTGGCTGGGTGCGTCTCAGCTCATCGAATCCCTTCCACTATCCGCTCATCAACGCGAACTACTTCGATGACCCGTTGGACGTTAAAACGATTGTAGAAGGTGGGAAAATAGCGCTACGCGTTGCCAACGCCAAAGTCTTCAAGCAGTTTGGTTCGCGTTTGCATCAAAGACCTTTGCCGAACTGCAAGAAACATAAAATATACTCGGATGCTTATCTGGAATGCCAGGCGCGCACCATTTCCATGACGATTTATCATCCATGCGGTACAGCGAAAATGGGGCCCGCTTGGGATCCCGAAGCAGTGGTCGATCCACGATTACGCGTTTATGGCGTTAGAGGGTTGCGCGTAATCGACGCAAGTATTATGCCGACAATTAGCAGCGGCAATACAAATGCGCCGGTAATTATGATCGGCGAAAAGGGTGCTGACCTCATCAAGGAGGATTGGCAGCGAAATCCGGAGTATCGTGCAGCGGCGCCGAAAAGTTAGCAAGTTAGTTAATTAGATAAATTTAGCAACTCCGGAAGTTATGCTACCAGTGCATGTGGGACCACAAATCAGGGGCGTACGTCAGCTTTATTACAGTTATACCGCAAGCGGTGCCATCGGGAGGTGGTGTTTCTGTTGTGCTACTCGGAAGCACCGCCTTACATAGCAAATATTTCACTTATTACGCTAAAATCGACACAACTTGTTTAATTAGTTTTAATCTGTAGAATTTAGATACATTCGAGTCATAGGCCTAAAACTTTAAGCTAATTCTTTGTTAACGAGCTACATACTCTTAAAACGATATATATATTTTTATATTTATATTTGTAATTTATAAAGTAAGGTAAGTATAGTACGTCATTATAATTTATTGCTGCACTCATTGGATCCTAAATCATTTTTCGATTACTTCATTTGTGAACGCATAAAACTTTAACCATGATATAAGTATGTAAATATTATTTTATGATATTTAAAATTATACTTTTACATAGTAAATTTAAATTAGATTTTAAATATATAGCATTTCGCATAGTCCAAATAGTTGTTTCATTTCTATGGATCAACGTAAGAATAACTGCATAAAAGGGTAAAGAAACATTTTATATATTCAGAAAGCTGGCATTTAATCTTGAATTTTTGAGCTCAAAATCGCGAAAAATTCGTGAAAGATACAAAACATCATTCGTGGAAGAAACAAAACATAAAAGAACAATGGGACGTAGGCCTATCAGTAGCCTAGTTAAGAGGTATAACAATATACACTGAAGGCTCAAAGATGGAGCAAAGTACCTGCGATGATCTCTAGGCGGGCATGCAGATCAGTAATTAATTTCGTCTTCAGCGCCTTCTAAGCTGAGTTCTATAGAGAAGGCTGGCTTCGGTGGCATCCAAACGGCTTTAAACGTAATAGCGTCCAAAGTATAAAAATCGACGGTTGTATGTTAATGCCATGTCGGTTTTGGCCATCACACTTTTTGCTGGGTTTGCTTTATAGAAACTACTTAAGTACTGCGAAGTGGAGGAACAATTCACCACATTCTGTGTCGACGTCCGGACGTACTGTCGAAGCGCAGGTAGAACTGAAGGCGATGACTCTAAATTTCGTTTATATCCCTTTGCTAAAGAAACCCCAGTTTATTAAAGCGGCCACATTCTCTCTCACTCGATACTCACTCATAAACGGCACTCACAATGGTATGGACTCTCCATATACCGTCTCTTAACCTAATCTAACCCAAATTAAATTTAAAAAAAAGACATGAAACAAAAGAGCGGGTAAAGACCTTATTCCCAACCATCTCAAAATACCACAGATTTTAAAGACTCTACGCCAACCATGTCTGTCAATTGTCCTTTGTCTCTATTGTAAGTGAGCGTCTGACGTAAGCTCACTGATGTTTTCTGTGCCCAGCTCATTCTGTCTGGAAATCTTAGTAGTAGATAACCGATTAAAGCCTAAATAATGCGAAGCAACGGGCTTTATACGCCAAAATCATCTTTGTAAAGAACATTACACCCAAGGCAAATTATTGAACTTAGAGCGACTATAATCCTGGGCCACCTTAAAGCAGTCATTTACCCAGAAAAAATCTCTATAGGGGAAGAGATGAGTCATGACAAATATTTTTTTACAAAAACTTCAAAGTTTAAGGTCAACTGATATGGATCGCATCGCTCTGTAGTGGTAGGGAGTGCACGAAGCTGCATTGGTTATTGTTCAGTAATGTAAAATCCACGTGCTTTGGTTTTGACTTTAAAGGCTTTTGTTCTCCATTTACCATAATTAGGCTACATGAGAGGTTCCCAAACTTTTTTTTCCCGTAGACCCCTTTCAAAATCTTACTGATTTCGGTGGGTCCTCTGCTGCTACATTTTTAACATATTTCCAAAGCGCATCAACAAATTTTAAGACTAGATCGAACGATGTAAATTTGCATCGCGGTTAAGTTTCAAAACTAAATTTGGGGTGGCTAAAAAAATAAAATATTTTCTTGTGTTCTATTTATTAAGAAAATGTGATTACACACTTGAAAGTTTAGAAAACAGAGCTCATAAATCGATCAAATACTCTCTCGCTCTGAGGAGTTATATTTTTTTAAGAGAACTCCGAGCGCTAGCGTTATTTACATTCTCTTCACCATAATCTCCTCACATGTTCGGCTCACTCATGAATTTGCATGTGGCGTATTCGTAAAATAGTTTATTTGTGTTAATGCCATCATTTTTATTTTTATCGCTCCGAGTTTTAAAGTGATGCGAATGCCTGGTTTGAGCCAGTTTTGGCGAAATGGTTAGATGTCTCATTACCAGATACTCCCGAGTGACCTGGTACTAAGAGTAAAGCAAGGTCGTTATCTTTACCAACATAAAATAATATCATGAGTCGAGACTTGCATTGTCGAACTAGTTTGGAGGTACTTAGATAGAGGGCTGGCTAATGCAGCCTGGCTGTCACTTCAGATATGTATGTCGACTCCTTCTCCTCTACCTATTTTCCACCACGTTGTCCATGGCTTTGAGGGTTGCAAATACCTCAGACTGGAAGACCGGGGCATACTCCCCAAGAGAAAAGTGAAGCTTATTCCCATTAACTTCGGAAAAGACCTCAGATCTTGACCCAGAGTCAGTTTTGGAGCCATAAGTGAAGATTCGACAATGGGATCTGTGCTGAATTAAACCAGCATTCAGCCTCAGGGAACTCAACATTACAGAATCTCTTTAACAGAAGGTAATGGTGGCGTACTATCCTACAGCATTGAAAAGACACAAGTGTGGCCTTAAGGGGCTTCCCCACGTATAAAGACACAAAGTGACGGTAAGTGTTGCAGTGCGTCAAGAGCACTACACACCACTCAAAAAAATTCAAGTTAAATAAAGAGGATATCAAGCAACCATTTTGGTCAGAATTAAAAAAAAAATAGTCACGTCACTTTAACTCTTCATAACTTCTTTTCTATTGCAAGCACAAACCTCTAACGGGCTGCATTCGATTCTACTCTCCTACTACCAGCTAACAAAAATAGGATAGCCACACCTTTTATTTGTGAAAAGTTCCCAATTTTATTTCTGAATTATATGCATATTTGGCTAGAAAATGTGTACCGTGGTCCCTTTGTTGCATTTGCATGTGTCCGAATAAGACCTGGCAAGTGATGCGAAAGTTCGAACTAATTGAGAATTTCCCATTTATGAGATTTTCCAAATAACAGATGTCATTCTTTACAACAGTTTTTTAGAGCTAATAAAAATTCCGACGATATTTGAACCTTGAATATTAGAAAACATTTTTTCTAAGCCTACAATTAAAACCAGACTACAAATGTTACTAATATAAACATTTATTTTTGCATAAAAAAAAACAAATATATGTACATAAAAGTGAGTGTTTTATTGAATTATGTACTTGAAAAAAAGTACCGTGATTAGTGATGGAATAAATTACAGAGCAGAAATTAGTTAGTATGATGTTTGTATGCTTAGATGTGACCTGAAACTGTGACCAAAGTACGGTTCATTGTAAATCGGTACGCATGAAATGGGTTATATATTTTCAACAGGGTTTCAAAAAATAATTCTTAGTATATTAAAATAAAGGCATGATATTCCGCATGATTTGCTACTATTTGTATGTGTAAGCTTCGATTTATCTGAAATACTTAAGTAGTCTACACGAGCTCATATAAATTAATTAGCTTGAATGACTGCCTTTTAAAAGACTCAGCACTCGACAAAGAAAAACTGAAAGGGTAATAGCACCATAAAACCATCTATCTTAACTCCCTCTTCTATACATCTTTAACTTTCTGCGTTCAATAACCGGTCGAATGTAGTAAATGTTGTTTACATCTCTGAAGTAAAATTAAAAAATAATAATAAATATTGTTGGAACATTAAATTTTATTGCTTTAAACACACTTGTAAATAAATTAACTTACTCGTGTATTGTAAACAAATCAATGTAACAGCTTTTTAGAACCAAATCGTCCATATAAAACTAAAAAGTGAATGCTGTCAATTGAGGCATTACTTAAACTCAAATACCCAACAACAACTATTAATGTTTTTGTTATTATTCACTTTTTATATCAACAACATCGCTGACCTTAATGCCAGTATTTGCTTCTAGAAACATTAAAAAAGCAACAGTTGTAAGGCGCTGCTATTTCTAATATTACAACATCTCCTCATCGGACCTATGTCTACGCTGACGTCTAAACTCTGAGTTAATAATAATAAAAATATATTGTTAGTGTTAGCTTCTCCTCCGATTTGTGGCGTGCGCCTTGGTGTTGTTCCGCAAAGGGGAGGACCTACAGTTTTACGTCGACTCCGAACGGCGATTGCATTTTTATCAGGAGCTATTTTTTATCGCAGAAATACATTCGGAGGTTTGCTGTTGCCTGGGACAGATACCGAGAGTTGCTAATG